TTGAAGTATTTTCAAAATCACGAAAAAACCTTCTCGACGTATTACCGTCATTTGTACTACCGCAACTTGAAAGTGGTTTGTCGATGTTTAATCCCATCTGAACTTTAAATTCTTCTTGGATTCTGCTTTTTTCCGCAGCTCTCAGTTCTTTCAATTCTTCATTATTTTTTGTTGATTTAGTAGGATAGTTTGTTTTTTGTCCTGGATCGCCTTGTATGATGGTAATATATTGTGTCCTTTTTCATGCAGAGCTTTCCTTAATATTTAGTACTTATTTCGACTGAGACCCAGTTCCAACATAAGCGCTATTGCTTCCTCTTCAGTAAAATTTGATTATGATGTTGGAGTTGGTATACTTTCCACAATTCGCTTAAGTCGTTTTGGTGATGCATTAGGAAGAATAGTTGCAATATGTACGACATCCATAGGTTGGTTTTCCTTTTTCAGCATTTCGTTAAATGTATCAGCAATATCCTCACTTGAGATTCATAAAAGTTTTTGTGTGACCCTCTTTTTTTTACCTTGAACATAAGTCTTCGTATGACTTGCAAGGCGCTCCTATTGATGTGTTGTAAGTTGAGATTTCTGTAGTAGTTTCCATCCAACTACAAAATTTTAATCGAAATTTCTTTTGATTTCCATCCACAGACTTACTTTTTACATCAAAAAGTTTTAAAAAGTTTTCAATTTTTGATATGCCTGTTTTGTCTACTTTTCTACTATATGTAGTTTTTATATAATTTGAAATGTCTTCAATTCTTTCTGGCCCTTTTGAAGATATACTCCATAAAACGGAACACAACTCTTCGTACTTTAATGTAATCTTCATTGTAGATTTATTAAATATGGTACTTAAAATCTGAGAAGTTTACTTATATACCAATTCTTGTCATTTCCGATACAGGTATTCCAAAGTAAAAAATTACGAATTGTCTACCTATTAACATTTAGGACTATATTACTATAACCTGTAATTCAGTCATTGAATTCGAATACTCCTTGGCTACGCTCACGCCAAATTTTATCCCGATCGGATCAGCCGTTTAGAAATGCCAGATTTATTTCCAAAAAATTTCCATTCTGCCCCACTGTGGGACGTAAAAAAAAACTGATAGTTTGACTGGTTAGTACAAATCAAGCCGACTGAACAATAAAACTTGATGGGTTGTTTGTTCAGTAAGACTTTGTTATTGTATGCAATTTGTTTTAGTATATTGTATGTTTTTGTGTTTAAATTTGACAAAAGTAAATAAAGTAATTGATAATTATTGCTAATAGAAATTGTTAATTAATTTAAAATTATAAATTACTATACTTATAAATTTAGATATTTTCTTTAAATAAAAATTGATTTAAATTTAAGCATTTTGATGATTTTTTAGTGAGATTTTGTTATTGTATGTATGTATGTATGTATGTATGTATGTATGTATGTATGTATGTATGTATGTATGTATGTATGTATGTATGTATGTATGTATGTATGTATGTATGTATGTATGTATGTATGTATGTATGTATGTATGTATGTATGTATGTATGTATGTATGTATGTATGTATGTATGTATGTATGTATGTATGGATGTATGTATGTATGTATGTATGTATGTATGTATGTATGTATGTATGTATATTAGGGTGAGTCGAAAATAGGCTTTTCGCTCGGATCAACATCTAATAGTGAAATTATGTTGTATTTTAACGTCAAATGGAAGACTGTAAAATATTATTCAATTTTTTGAGGGTAAGAGCCCGCGCATCGCCGCCAAAGTTTGTAAATGCTTTTATATGGGAAAAATGGCACTTTTTGGAGTTTTTTCACAAAATGATGCTTTAAGTATTAATTATTGCACCATTTTATAGCAAAATCGTAATGTCTACAAAATTGTCTTTCCAAAAAGATGGAGAAACTCAAAATTGGTTAAAAAAGTTTTGAGTTATTAAAATTTCCCCCGAGAATTTTGGGATTCTGAAGACATATAAAAGTAAATATAAGAAAATTTTTGTTAGTTTTGAAAAATTTTACAAAAAAATATTATGTTTATCTTTATAAGGTTCATAAATGTGCTAGTACGAATTTTTGTTCAAATTGGATAACTCTTACTCGGTTTAGTCTGTGGTCAAAAAAGGGCCATTATTTTAACAGCATCTCCAAAACTCCATTTTCAAACTTTAAAAAATTTTGTTAAATGGATTATTAAAAATTAAAGTTTTTTATGCTGGATATTATAAGAGATATATATAAGAATTAAACACAGAAAGAATGAGCTTAATACCTCTCATAGTTTTACCGTACCTGCGATGTGAATTTGAAGGATTTCGGGAAAAAGGCAATTTTTGCCAATAATTAAGTAAAAATTATATTATTACCAATTGTCGCTTAATTTTGATCAAGTAAATTGCGATTATTATTTCCGAGTCCATGGAAAGTTAGTTCTAATCAAATTTTCGAAACTAAAAATCGTTAACCCTCTAAACACCGGTGTCAAAATCAAATTTTTGAATTTTATGTTCTTGAAGAAATAAAAGCAGGATGTTGTTAATTTGTTGATGGATATTGATGAAACTTCTTAGAAGTTATTTTTACTACATTCAAATTCAATCCATTAAATCTTTAAGAAAGTTAATTTTAGAAAATTCCTTTTTAAAAGTGTTTTTTGTAGTGTTTAAAAAATCGGTCTTGAATTGACCCCAAGTATGACAGAGGGTTAATTTTTGAAGAAGTAGGATTCCTAGATTTCTGGATATATTTTCGTGTAGTTTGTCAAAATCAATTCATAATTAAATACACAATATTTTGCTATTTATATTAAATATACAAAAACTTGATTTTGACCCCGGTTTTTAGAGGGTTAATGATTTTTAATTTCGGAAATTTTATCAGAAATAATTTTTCATGGACTCGGAAATAATAATCGCAATTTAATTGATCAAAATTAAGCAACAATTGGTAATAATATAATTTTTACTTAATTATTGGCAAAAATTGCCTTTTTCCCGAAATCCTTCAAATTCACATCGCAGGTACGGTAAAACTATGAGAGGTATTAAGCTCATTCTTTCTGTGTTTAATTCTTATATATTCTTTATAATATCCAGCATAGAAAACTTTAATTTTTAATAATCCATTTAACAAATTTTTTTAAAGTTTGAAAATGGAGTTTTGGAGATGCTGTTAAAATAATGGCCCTTTTTTGACCACAGACTAAACCGAGTAAGTGTTATCCAATTTGAACAAAAATTCGTACTAGCACATTTATGAACCTTATAAAGATAAACATAATATTTTTTTGTAAAATTTTTCAAAACTAACAAAAATTTTCTTATATTTACTTTTATATGACTTCAGAAACACAAAATTCTCGGGGGAAATTTTAATAACTCAAAATTTGTTTAACGAATTTTGAGTTTTTCCATCTTTTTGGAAAGACAATTTTGTAGACATTACGATTTTGCTATAAAATGGTGCAATAATTAATACTTAAAGCCTCATTTTGTGAAAAAACTCCAAAAAGTGACATTTTTCCCATATAAACGCATTTACAAACTTTGGCGGCGATGCGCGGGCTCTTACCCTCAAAATAATTGAATAATATTTTACAGTCTTCCATTTGACGTTAAAATACAACACAATATCGCTATTAGATGTTGATCCGAGCGAAAAGCCTATTTTCGACCCACCCTAATATACATATGTACATACATACAATAACAAAATCTCACTAAAAAATCATCAAAATGCTTAAATTTAAATCAATTTTTATTTAAAGAAAATATCTAAATTTATAAGTATAGTAATTTATAATTTTATAAATTTTAAATTAATTAACAATTTCTATTAGCAATAATTATCAATTACTTTATTTACTTTTGCCAACATTAAACACAAAAACATACAATATACTAAAACAAATTGCATACAATAAAAAAGTCTTACTGAACAAACAACCCATCATGTTTTATTGTGCAGTCGGCTTGATTTGTACTAACCAGTCAAACTATCAGTTTTTTTTACGTCTCTTAGTAAGAAAACGAAACCAAGAACTAAGCAATATGTAAGCAGCACACGCAAATCTGTTTTTACTGTTCAGTCGTTGTGTTCAGTTCGGCTGAGTTGAAAAACTTAACATGGCCGCTGCTTGTGTGTTTGGCTGCTGAAGAAAAACAAAACCACTTGCAAGTTATTGCAGCAGTGCGTTGACACAGTTGACTGACTTCAGTTAGCTTGTGAGGGAAAAATAAATACTTGAACTTTCTTCAGTTCGGTCGACATTTAAAAAAATAAAACTAAATATTAAACCCTGTTCTAGAATATAATTTACGACCCTATCCCTGCAAAAATTTAGGCTACTCCCTACACGCGTGAAAAGAGTACTCCTCAAAAGACTAGGAGTAGTCCAAAACTAATCCAAGTATATACAAAAAACATACTCCATTTAACATTGTGATGTCCTAGGTGAGGACCACGTAATCCATCCATACATTACATCGGAGTAATCTCAAAACTACTCCATGTCACTACTCTGAGGATTACCACAGGAAACTAGTTTGGAAACTATTTTATGGTAATACTCCAAGGAATATCAACATAGGGTTAGTTTTTAAACTACTCCAATGTTAATACTCCATAGAATACCACAGAAAACTAGTTTTGAAACTACTCTTTGGTAATACTTAATTGAACACACCAAAAAATTACTTTTTAAATTATTTATATTAATTATTAATTAATTTATTAAAAAAATATTAATTGCAAACTTAACAATATTATTTACAGAATATAAGTAAGTAATACAAATAGTTCAAATAAAGATCACATAAGAAGCAACAAAAAAAATTACATAACAACAATAAAATGTAATAATAACAAAAAATGTATTATTTTCAATTCATTTTTTATATTCAATTTTTTAATTCCTGGTGAAACATAATTATGATTCACCTATTAATTATTATTTTTGTGTTAATAAGGAATTATTATAAAAACTTAAAATTCTATTTAAAGTTCATTAGTTTCTAGAACCACATCGGTTTTAACAGATACCTTTTTTTTTGCACAAACGGAACGAAAGTGACGTTTTTTTACCACTTGAAGTGCGGTCCTTATTTCTTTCTCAGCGTTGGTTGAATAACTATTTATTGCAGCTGAAGTTAAATGTATCTTTACGATTAAATAGTCTGATTAATTTTTAATAAAAAGCTTGCATATAATAGTTTTGTATACGTTTTTATAATGTCTTAAACACTTTTTTCCACATATCCCGTCTGTATTATATAATACGCACAATTCTCGGGATAATACACGTTCTAGATTTTTTACAACATTTCCATCTACTAAATATTTAATAGCTGATATCTGAAAAAATACAAATTGAACAATATTCACTGCCATTTTTAAAAGTTGATCATTTCTCAATAATTACATATTTGTCTTCATTAGCTTCGTTTATTTGAGTTTCCATTTTCTGAAGATCTTCTTCAGTTTTAATTGGATATACCGTTATTAGGTTGTTAATATTTTTCCGTACATTATGTAAACCTTGCAACTGAATTTTTTGCTCAGCCAGCATTTCAACCATTTCAACCAAAAAAGTAATTTTAATGATTCATTAAGAAGCAGATAATAATATACTTTGCAATTTTGATATCTGTTCTCTTAAAACTTTGTGTTCGCCATTTATTTCTGTAATGATCTGATTTTGTTTGATGATCATTTCTGTAACGTAAGTAAATTATGTTATTGAAAGTGAACAAGTATAAATAGTTTTTAGTGACATACCTTTAAAACCGATACAGTTATTACAAGGGTTTTTTTGGTACGATCTAAAAGAAGACACACTGTTCATTTGTTGTATATTTGAGTAATCGCACGGATGGATACTTTATACCTACAATTTAAGAGCTCGCTACAAGCATTTAGTCTTTTCAAATTTGAGTTTTGTCCTTCCATATTACTTTACTTGGTTGTTGATATTTGTAATTATTAAGTGCAGCTATGATAGCTATTAGAGCCCTGCATGAGTGACTTAAATAATATTTTAAAACATTTAATTTTTTGAAAGTACTGTTTTTGACTCACTCATTGTTTTTTGAATGAATATAATAATTTATTCAAAACAAAAATGTATATGACAAAAAATTCAAATAAAGTAAAATACATGAATGTAAAGAGTATTGTATAATATAGAGCCCTGCATGAGTGACTCTATTTGTCACCCACAATGAGTAATCCACTGCATTGCACTCAACTCATTTTTTATTTTGAATATTATTTACAAAGAGTGTGTACATTTGATTTTAATAATTCAAATTTTTGTTTTACTCAATCATTGCGAGTATTTTTGTGTAAGTGTACGTCTACATTCAAATCGAGTAAGTTAACAACTTACGTATATTAAAAGAATACAAAATAAATATTTCGAATCGAGTGAATCGAGTTTTAAATGCCAAAAGAAAAATAATTTAAAAAGAAATATAATAAAAAAACATGATATCGCAAATTAATTTAAAAATGGAAAACAATGAGGTATATCTAATTAATAAATACTAAACCGTATGATAAATGTTTAATTTATATTATATTTTATTGTAAATTGGAACAGAATTCTAGCGGCGCCGTTGATAGCCCAGCATCCGTTTCCAGCGTAACTAGCTTGTTGAGCCATGAGATAATAAAAACAAAAATAATTAACCAAGAATATAAATTAAGTAATAAAACTGGACGTAGTAACGTATGGAAAACATTTGGAATGATTATAAACGACTCAGGTGAAGAATTGTTAAATGTAGTCGCGTGTCGATTTTGCTTTAGCGTGTATAAACATAACAGTAGATCTACTACAAACTTGGTAAGACATAAATGCTACATCGCCACAAAAGATCGGGATAACGTACACAACGTTTTAGTGGATAGTGACACAAAAAGGAAAGCATTGTATACATTTACCAAATGGATTATTGAAAACTGCAGACCTTTTACATTGGTGGAAGATTCCGGTCTTCATGAACTTGTTAGCTTCGTTTTGTCCATCGGCTCAAAATATGGTAAGCACGTCGATGTAAAATCATTACTTCCACACTCAACAACAGTAGGAAGAAATGTTTGTAAGCTTTACGATGTAGCATTTTCTGAGATAAAATCCGACATCACTAAAGTCAAGGACATTGGGTTCGCTCTAACCACCGATTTGTGGACGGACAGCTATTTACACAAATCATTTTTGGCAATAACAATGCATTATATAAAAGATACACAATTGAATAAAGTTTTGTTGGGAATACGCAGCATGAATGGCGAAAAATGTACTAGTGAGTTGTATATACCATTATAAAATTTTAATGGCCACTGATTTTTTATCAATTATTCCGAAATCCTTTAGGTGATAACATATACTGCAAAGTTTGTAACATACTTAGCGAATTTGATTGTGTATTCACTGAAAATGTTACCGTCGTGACGGACAGAGAATCAAATATGTTTGCTGCTTTTCGCAGCGCTGCCCATATATATTGTATTAACCATCTACTGAATAATGTTATTCAGAAATCCATAGATGCAGTCCCAGAAGTAAAATTTATTTGCGATGTAGCCACCAATATAGTGGGGTACTTTAAAAAGTCTGGGATAAATTCAAATATAAGAAAGTCCTTAAAAAGCTTTTGTCCATCAAGATGGAATACTTTCTATTATCTGTTGTCGTCATTAAAAAGCAGCTGGGTCGAAGTTGTTTTCATATTACAAGAAAGGCATGAAATCCATCGTATACAGAATATTGATTTAAGAAATATAACTGCTGTGTTGGATATAATTCGACCCTTTGAAGAAGCCTCGAAGATACTAGAGGGAGAGAAATATCCAACAATTCATTTGGTCTACATTTATGTAAACAGCCTTCAAAAGAAATGCGCTGAAAACAACGAGGATATAAGTATTGCCCAGGCTTTGAAAAGCAAGCTTAGGCACTACTTGGAAACTGTCGTTTTTTCTAATTTGTCCATCTGGCATCGAGTTGCACTATTCCTGTTCCCCCCTGCAAACAAATTGCTAAGTTTTTCTGAAGAAGATCGAAATCTTATAAAATTAAAATGTATCGAGTTGATACAAAGCCTAGTACAGAATTGTGAGCCTATAACAGAATCACAACAACTGTCAGTAGCCTCAATCTCATCGAAAAATTTAGAGCTGTTTTCAGATTTTATTCGATCATCTGATTTTCAAACCAACGAGGATTTAGTGGCCTCAGAGTTGAGACGATACGAAAACACAGAAGTGTCCTTTTTTGATGATTTCGACACACTTAAGTGGTGGGATTCGCATAAGAACGAGTTCCCCTTTTTACACAAATTGAGCTGCCGAATCTTAGCAATACCAGCAAGTAGCGCACCTTCAGAACGGGTTTTCTCTTGTGCCCGCAACGTAATTTCTGAAAAAAGATGCTCCATTGCCTCAAATGATATTGCGGTAAATCAAATTATTTTCTTACACATGAATCAGAAAAAATACGCAGTTGCACAAGAAGAAGGTGCTCTCAGTGTTAATATATAATTATAAAAATCCTTATATTTCATATTTTTTCACTTTACAGTAGTTTTGTTTACATCTCTAAATAATATTCAAATATAATTATTACATGAGTTACATTAATAAAATATACATATATACATAACAATAATGCATTCTATTTGTAATCTCGATATAAAAATTCATAAGAACGGTAATTCGTTCAAAGAATTGCATTCTAATTAAAACACATAATAAATCCTTCTATGATTCGATTCACTCGCTGTTTTGCACTCGATTTGAAACACAAAAACACTCTCAATACTCATATCATACAATACTCTTTACATTCATGTATTTTACTTTATTTGAATTTTTTGTCATATACATTTTTGTTTTGAATAAATTATTATATTCATTCAAAAAAGAATGAGTGAGTCAAAAACAGTACTTACAAAAAATTAAATGTTTTAAAATATTATTTAAGTCACTCATGCAGGGCTCTAGTATGATATGAGTATTGAGAGTGTTTTTGTGTTTCAAATCGAGTGCAAAACAGCGAGTGAATCGAATTATAGAAGGATTTATTATGTGTTTTAATTAGAATGCAATTCTTTGAACGAATTACCGTTCTTATGAATTTCTATAGCGAGATTACAAATAAAATGCATTATTGTTATGTATATATGTATATTTTATTAATTTAACTCATGTAATAATTATATTTGAATGTTATTTAGAGATGTAAACAAAATTACTGTAAAGTGAAAAAATATGAAATATAAGGATTCTTATAATTATATATTAGCACTGAGAGCACCTTCTTCTTGTGGAACAGCGTATTTTTTGTGATTCATGTGTAAGAAAATAATTTGATTTACAGCAATATCATTTGAGGCAATGGAGCATCTTTTTTCAGAAATTACGTTGCGGGCACAAGAGAAAACCCGTTCTGAAGGTGCGCTACTTGCTGGTATTGCTAAGATTCGGCAGCTTAATTTGTGTAAAAAGGGGAACTCGTTCTTATGCGAATCCCACCACTTAAGTGTGTCGAAATCATCAAAAAATGACACTTCTGTGTTTTCGTATCGTCTCAACTCTGAGGCCACTAAATCCTCGTTGGTTTGAAAATCAGATGATCGAATAAAATCTGAAAACAGCTCTAAATTTTTCGATGAGATTGAGGCTACTGACAGTTGTTGTGGTTCTGTTATAGGCTCACAATTCTGTACTAGGCTTTGTATCAACTCGATACATTTTAATTTTATAAGATTTCGATCTTCTTCAGAAAAACTTAGCAATTTGTTTGCAGGGGGGAACAGGAATAGAGCAACTCGATGCCCGATGGACAAATTAGAAAAAACTACAGTATCCAAGTAGTGCCTAAGCTTGCTTTTCAAAGCCTGGGCAATACTTATATCCTCGTTGTTTTCAGCGCATTTCTTTTGAAGGCTGTAGACCAAATGAATTGTTGGATATTTCTCTCCCTCTAGTATCTTCGAGGCTTCTTCAAAGGGTCGAATTATATCCAACACAGCAGTTATATTTCTTAAATCAATATTCTGTATACGATGGATTTCATGCCTTTCTTGTAATATGAAAACAACTTCGTCCCAGCTGCTTTTTAATGACGACAACAGATAATAGAAAGTATTCCATCTTGATGGACAAAAGCTTTTTAAGGACTTTCTTATATTTGAATTTATCCCAGACTTTTTAAAGTACCCCACTATATTGGTGGCTACATCGCAAATAAATTTTACTTCTGGGACTGCATCTATGGATTTCTGAATAACATTATTCAGTAGATGGTTAATACAATATATATGGGCAGTGCTGCGGAAAGCAGCAACCATATTTGATCCTCTGTCCGTCACGACGGTAACATTTTCAGTGAATACACAATCAAATTCGCTAAGTATGTTACAAACTTTGCAGTATATGTTATCACCTAAAGGATTTCAGAATAATTAATAAGAAATCAGTGGCCATTAAAATTTTATAATGGTATATACAACTTACTAGTACATTTTTCGCCATTCATGCTGCGTATTCCCAACAAAACGTTATTCAATTGTG